GAGAAGTTTACAAATATCTACAATTCAGGGAAGAATAAAATGAATGCCAGAAGAAAGGCCTCAAGGTTTAGAAAAGCCACATAATTAGATCTGGCTCAAAGGACAAGCAAGATTTCTTGGAGAAGGTAGCATCTGAGACGGATGCTGTTGATCGCAGAAGGAAGAAAGAGGAGGCGGAGTGCTGCTCTCCAGGCACAAAGAAGAGCCGAAGCAAAGCCGCTGAAAGAGGTAAGTTAGGATCCATCAGGTATTCTGGTTTGGTCCCAAGAATGCTTAGTATGGCATCTTATGAACAGTAGGTACTTGATACGGTTTGGTTGTGTCCCCACCCAAATTTCATCTTGAATGGTAGTTCCCATAATCCCTACACGTCATAGGAGGGACCCAGTGGCAGGTAATTTAATCATAGAGGAGGTTACCCTCATGCTGTTCATGTGATAGTGAGTGACTTCTCACGAGATCTGATGATTTTATGAAGGACTTTTTCCCCTTTTCCTTGGCACTTCTCCGTGCTGCAGCCATGTGAAGAAGGATTTACAATCCCCTTCTGCCATGATTGTAAATTTCCTGGTGCCTCCCCAGCCATGCTGAACCGTGAGTCAATTAAACCCCTTTCATTTATAAATTACCCATTCTAGGGTATGTCTTTATTAGCAGCAAGAGAACAGACTAATACAGTACTCAGTGCACGCTGGTAGGTAGACACTTTGGGTGGCACTGATTAATGAACAATCTACAGGAACCAAAGAGTCCGTGAGAACCTCATATTCACACACACAGGATACATACAAACTCCAGAACAACAGACATTTCCAAAAATAGGACTCCAGTCTCTAGCAGCTTACAGAGACACTAATTGTAGCATTATTCTTTCAGAATAATGGATCTAAGCATGTTTTTGGTCTAACAATGCTTTAAGAATGTGTGTTCAATAAGTGTTCCTAGGATATTAATAACTAGTACGTGGAAAGGGGTTCTGTGCTCAGATTCACCTGAAGGAACGCTGAGGTAGGTGAGTATATATGGGTATATATTCCACAGTACTTCTTAGAGATTCTGACATGTTATGTCAAAGAGGAGTGGGATGTTATTATCATTTCCTAAATACATTTGACCATAGAGTCTTTTTTAAATGGAGGCTCTCATGGAATAAGTATTTCATAGACCGCTCTATGAGTTATATGCAATTATAGAAAATACAGAAAAACACAGTTTGCCTAAATGATGAAGACAAGTCTCAAACAGTAAATTGTCAGCTACCAGGAATTCTTGAAGATGCTTGATATATCTATTCCCTTTTTCATTCACTCTCCATTTTACCGCATCCTACTCCATTGACTATAGTTCATAAAAGCTGATATTTACTGAGCCTGTACTATGTGTCAGGCTCTATTTTAAGTGCTAGAACCCTCACAATAAGCCCTCAAGGTCAGCACTAGTATTATTATTATTCCATTTATGTAAGTGAGGCAACTTGAAGCACTGAGAAATTAAGGAATTTCCCCACTGCCACCTGAATGGTATGTGGTGGAGCCAGTGTACAACCCAGGCAGAGCTAAGGCTCCTGGCAACCACGCAAGTTTCTTATTCAGAGAGAGAGAGGGAGAGAGAGATCACATGATGGCTCCTCCCTCTTTTATCTACTGCCTGTGATGGGTTTAGATCTCTAATACTCTACTCTCTCATCAACCTCCCCACCCACCCAACCTTCAATCTTCCATCCAGTCTTCAGAGAAAGGGGAGTCACTCTTCCTTCACACATGATTGCGATTAAGATAATTAACACCTCATGATTCCGATTAAGATAATCTCCATCTGGCCATGTGGCGTTTGGTTTCCTTATTCTAGACGGTGGAACTTCTTTCCAAATATCTCATTCAGCAATTCCACTTTGATGAGAGAAATCACAAGTTCCAGAAAGAAGCAGATAATATATCCAGTGTTAGCAATTACTCTAGGCAGCACAGTGTGACAGAAAATCAACATACATCACCTGTATTTGGTTGAAATTTCTTCTGATGAGGAGGAACTTTCTCTTAGCTGAGATTTCTTTAAATTTCCTTCCTAGCCTCCAGAATAATAGCCCCAGCTTATTCCTCTAGCCTTCCTCTGTCCTCAGCAGTCTGTCCAAATTTTTACTACTTCTTTCCCTAAAAAGGAAAAAAAAAAAAGTCCCTTTGGCTTCTCCCTCACCTTCCCTCATCAAACCCCACCTTTTAGTCATGCTTGGGTGCCCCTGATCTCCACTCCAAACCTCTTTCACCTCATATCTCTTTCTCTCATTACCGATTCATCTCTTCTTCTCTCTGCCTCCCACTGCCATGTGACAAATCCCTTTTAAAATAGCACCAGTGACTCACCCGGCGGATACTGTATTCCATTTATATGTACCTTTTTTATTTTCCAAGGGGCATAAAGAGTTTCACAGAAATGCAGGCTTATTTTTACCTCGTTCTTGTAAAAGAATTGTCTGTAAGAAGGGAATAAAAATGTAGTTTGGGATTTTGTCTGAATAACTTGACTATTAAGGCTGATAACCAGGTTTTCACTTTCCCAGGTTATTTTTTTTCCCTCGTCTCCCTCTCCTTAGTGCTTGTTATTTTCTTCAGGATTTATTAGTAGCCTCACCAGAATTTAGACCTTAGTCTTACCAAGCAGTTGTGCTGTTTCTGAACCAGTCACCCATGCTGGAACTCTCAGAGCTGGCTCCAGCCCTCCAGCTGGTTCATGCTCATTGTCATTGGGTAAACAGGCCACTCCAGCACTATCTTAGGGCCCTTACCTCTATTTTCACTGCCACGACCTGGCTCCAGCCAGCATCTCCTCTAACCTGCACCAAGGCAATGATCGCCTAATGGTTCCCACTGCCCTCAACCATTTTCCTACAAATCGTTATTGTCCACCTCACATCTGACATGCTGCAACCTAGGTCCCTCTGCCTAAGAGCCCATCCTTTGTCATGGTACTCAGGCCTTCTCAGTCTGGCCTCAAGCTACCTTTCCTCTATAATCACTGAGCTCTACAACACGCCCATCCTGGAAACAAGCAGCTTCCCTACACGTGCCTTCATTTCCCGACCTCTGTACTTTCATTCATTTGGCCCCTCTAGCAGGAGTGCCCACCCTTGTCTTTTCCTGGCAAGCTCTTTCTCAGGTTCAAAGGCACTTCTTCAGCTAAGCTTTTCCTAACTTCCCCAGGGTGGACTTAAATATACAGAAGACTCTATTCCTATAGCTGTTTATGGTACGTATGAGGTAGTACATATCATAAAAATGTATTGGAAGGCTATGATATCCCAGGCACTAGGTGCATAGACATCAAATTCATAGTCTTTAACCTGCTTCTAAGTAAGACAGAAAATAAAGTCAAATAAATGGTATTTCAGGGTGAAATAAGCAGTAATAGAGATGAGCCTCCTTCTTCCTCTGGGTGGTTGGCTCCAAGTGCGTTCCCACTGATGAACCTTAGCTTAGCCAATGAATAATGAAAGTAATAAGCTGTCTTCCACCAATGCTATTTTCTCCTGTCCAAGCCCTGGCTCTATACAGCCATGGAAATTGGTGAAAAGAGTCGCTGGCCCAAGGCATTTGGCATTCACAGCTGAGCCGCATCGTGAGTCATGCAGTCATGCATAACTAATGTGCTCCCTGGCTAAGCAGTAAAGACTCATGAGGTAAAGGTAAAAAAGTTGTCGCACCATGCCAGGCCAAGTTCAGAAGTCACCAGGTCCAGAGCCTCCTCCCAGTTAGCTTCCTGACTCCCCTCTTGTTCTCTACACCCCATCTTCCACCTGGCAGCTGGTATCATTTCCCACAGCCTTTAAAACGACTGGCAGGCACGGCCCTTCATATCGCCTCTGCCTCCCTGACACCACCTTTTGCATCCACTTCCTAACCTCTGCGCTGTCCCTTGGTCATATTAAACTACTTGCATTTCCTTAATTCATCAGGATTTCTCTTACCTGCAGGCCTTTGCCTGTGCTGCTTGTTCCCTTTGCCTAGAATGCACTGAAACCTTCTGCATAACTCTGACTCATCCTGCTGGTCTCAGGATAAAGGCTATTTTTAAAGGAAAGCTTATCTCTACCCTTCCTTCATGCTAAGATCTGGACAGCCTTGCTCCTGTGTGTTCAAACCTCATACCCTCTGCTTTCTCCATCATTGCACATATCACACTGCATTGAAATCACTTGCTTACTTGTGTATTTCCCCAGTGTAAACCCCGGGAAGGCAAACACCTAAAGGTTTCATCATTGCATTCCAGTGCCCAGCCAAGAATGCAGAATGCATTAGGCATGCGTAAGTATGTACTGGTGGACTGAGTTCATGTAAAACTGTGAAGACAAGGTCAGGTTTTCCTATTTAGGGGCAGATAGAACAGGACGTATACATCATCAGCTACTTGGATAGTAAAACCCTAAGCATGAAACAAATTAGCAATTTAAATAGCATACAAGACAGCATGAATCTGTTATACAAGAAAGCATAACTTGTATAAAGGTAGTGAGATTATTGTCCAATTAAAAAGGTGTTGATTTTTACTTGAAGTTACTTTATACCAAAATATAATTTTTGCTAATGGGACTAAAAAAGGATAAGTTGTGTCATTCTATTCCTTTAATAGGAAACCAAACTAAAACACAGAAAAAAAAAAAAAAAAAACGTTGAGTGAAGCTACTTTTTGAGTAGTGGACCCTCAGAATGGGAACCCAGTGACAACTGGATTATTTCCTCCCTTTTATAAACAGAATTCTATTGTAGAGACAAGTTGAAATAGATCTCAAATTGTTGCCACTGTCACAGCTGTAACTTGTAACTCATGTATAAAGGACCATTACGAGCTGGAATCTATGAGTGATGAATATAGCTTTCACCCCTGGTAAACACTAGCAGGAATCTCTTCCATTATGGTTACTGTCAAAGAGAGGTACAGGTAGGACAGAAATCAAACACAAATGATACACTACCTTTCCCTATAAATAATGCATAGACTAGGAAACTATTCTTAATAATAAATATTTATTAATTAGAACATATAAGTGAATGCAGAAGGCATTTAAAAGAAAAATACGAAAGAATAATTTTATTCATGCAGTACTTTCATAAAAAGTGAGTATAAACTCAGTCCATGAATGCATAAAGTGAAATGAGCTGGCTGGCTGGAGAGAGGGTCATGGTGCCAGAGGCTACGCAGTCATGGTCACAGCTGTATTGGTTGATTGCTGGGTTCCTGTTGGCTTGGTCCGGGTCATGTTATTTGTGGTCTTGGACCTCCTGTCCAGGCTCTTGACCATGTCGCTCACCCACCTGGCTTGTGAATCAGCACAGACTTTTAGGCCACGTTTGGTAATAAAACTGTAATACAAGGAAAACATAGATGAAGTTAGCCACATTCTCAAATCCTCAGGGCCAGGAGTTAAGATCAGAGCAGACATGAAGAGATCTTGTGCCGAAATTACTGCAAGAAACAGTCTTTCTGAGCCATGAAATCATAAATGAGCATCCTTCTTCTGCCGTCTATTTTAACATAAAGCAGAAATATATGCAAGTAGTATCCAGCCCCCTGTTTACTATAATTCACAGGCTCATTTTCTCATCCATGTCACCAAATGTAACAAAAAGCTTTTGAGGCTATCTAGTTCCATTACTACATATCCTCTTCCTTTTCAAATTCAAAAATACTCATCTTATTTTTTGAATAAAAGGCGATTGTTGACTTTTCATATCTTAGAGTAAAGCTGGCCATTATGTGTTGGGAAGAGTTATTAGTTCTCAAAATGAGATTCTGGTAGAAGAAAGTCACCATATAGGTTGTCCATTGACTCATTTTCTTGAAATATGCAACTGGCAAAACATGGCACTCAGCCTAACTCAACCCTAATAACCACTCCCACTCCAGTGCAGCTTGCAGGGAAACCCTGAATGGGCCAGCCATCTCTAAACCCAGCCCTCAGAGCTGTGCACAGTATTCATCGGACTCTTCTGCTAAGCTAAATAGAGGAGGACTTCTATTCTTTATTTGGCAGCCAAATTTTTGCAATAATCGCTATTCGATTGGGCTGCATAAAGACACGATGGATAAGGAAAAATAAAGAGGTTATTGGTTAAGTTGAGACGTTCCTCCATGTTAGCCTACTTTTCCTGAGGAGGGCAGCATTTCTATGAACTACATTTCTATACCTCTAGTTATCCACCCAGCCCAGCTTCTGAGGAGGGAAACTCACATTACTGCTTTGAAGGAGCCTTCCTTGATGGTGTAGGTCTTGATTCTGTGAATTGGCAGTCTCTGGGTAGTGAGGCTCACACAGACACTCTTATCTGAGACTTCACTCCCTATACCTGGTGAGAGAAAAAAATACCAGGCAATTAAAAATAAAGCAATTATCAAGATCATAGGAATAATCATCTGTTAAATTACTCTGCAAATGTTGTGAGACTGTAAGTCCATTCGCTGTTGGGGGGAAGATTTGACTCATAGGCATCCTGAATGTCTTGCCCATCATAGAATCTTAGTAAATAGTTGACTAATTTAAAAATTCAATCAATAGAATTGTTTCAGGAATTTCACACTGAGAGAAGTTAACAAGAGATTATCCCATATCTGTGTACATTTTCACTTAGACTCTTGGGACGGCTAGCAGATGCCCCAGTGACATTCATTCATTCTTTTATACAACAGTGCTGATTGTGTCCCACATGTTTTATTAAGACAGATGTTAATCCTGTTTTCATAGAGCACATCTTCTAATGAGGGAGCCAGGCAACAGACAGGTAAACAGAAAAGATCATCTCAAATAGTGAAATATGTTACTATAAGTGAGAGACTAATGCGTGAAGAGTAATCTAGGCAAGGTAACATTTAGTGGGGGAGGGAAGCTTGTTTTTCACTGACTAAGTAAAGGTGTTCTCATTCTAAATGGTAAACTGTCTCCATTCGCCATCCTCCCAAGATGCTGAAAAGGAAAGAAGGTGACCCCAGCCCCTGCCATTGTGAAGAAGGGTATTGGACAGGACATCTAGCCCAAAAGGGACCTCACCTGCTTAGTGAAATGGCCCCACTATATCTGGTTGCAGCAGCAAAGAGCTATCCTCTATAAGCAGTTGAAAGTGCCTTCTGCAATTAAGTGGTTCACCCAGGCCTTAGACTCCAAACAGCTACTCAGCCACTTAACCTGATCCACAAGTACCAACCAGAGACAAAACAAAAGAAGCAGCAGAGACTCTTGGCCCAGGCTGAGAAGAAAGCTGCTGGCAAAGGGGGTGTCCCCACTAGGAAATCACCTGTCCCTTGAGCAGGTGTTAGCACCATCACCACCTTGCTGGAAAACAAGAAGGCTCAGCCGGTGGTGATTGCACATGGCATGGACCCCATCAAGCTGGTTATCTTTCTGCCTGTCCTGTGTCCTAAAATGAGGTTCCCTTACTGCATTATCAAGGAGAAGGAAGGCAAGACTGGGACATCCAGTCCACAGGAAGTACCAATGTCACCTTCCCACAGGTTAACCAGGAAGACAAAGAAGCTTTGGCTAAGCTGATGGAAGCTAGCAGGACCAATTACAACGATGGATATGATGAGGTCTGCAGTATCCTGGGTCAAAAATCTGTGGCTCGCATTGCCACGCTGGAAATAGCAAAGGCTGAAGAACCTGCCACTAAACTGGGTTAAATGTACACTGTTGAGTTTTCTGTACATAAAAATAATAAAAACTCTCCTTCAAAAAAAATTAATAAATGGTAAAAGGTAATATTACATATATATTTATATATATAAATGTATATATAAAAGAAGTCAGCCCTAAAATATTCATCCCCAGTAGTAATGGCCTAATGGGAATTAAACTATTAAGTTTAGAGAACCATCTTACATTGCAAAAGGAAAAATAACTTGGGAGAATTAATACTGTTAAGGGTTGGGCAAAATCTAATCAAAGTTTCTAAAAATGCTGATTTTCTCCTTAGCTGTAGACACTGGCCTTTGCTTCCTAGAGAAATAGGCAGCAAAAAAGCATCTAAAGTAACCACTGATAACCACGAAGTTTGCTCTGTAGTGTTGCTAATATCAGAAGGCATTTTTTTAAAGTACGGAACTAAACAGTGTTCACGGATGTTGCTTTTCCTCATCATTCCTTTTTCTTTCCTTCGCTCCCAATGCCAGTCAGCACACTCCTACCCTCTGCCTTTGCCAATTTATTTTTAATGCTGAACTGTTTCTGAAGCCAGTGAAAGAGGAAAAATCTGGGCTTTATCTTTGTTTCTCTCATATTTTAGAAACAGTATTTCTCTCTGTGAAGTATCTAACATGAACTCCCAAGACTTTATACTTGAAACCACAAAGGCTTTTCCTTATTCTCAGCAATGCGTGTGTGTCTATGCTGTTCTTTAAAACATCACCTCCTTTCAGGTTGCAGAGTTGAGTCAAAGCAGAGACTGCTTTGCCTTCCTTCTGTACATAAGAAGCTAGGCACCAGTGAGACTTATTGAGCTCCTTCAAATAGAAAACTTGGGAATCTGAGACCAGTGTCTGCAGTTCCTCTCAGCCTCTAACAGAGCTTCCTTCCCCCTACCCAGACCTGAGTTTCCCTCAAATGGCATGCCCGTTGTCTTAGCAAAATGCATGACACCTAGTGCAGTAATCAAATTTTTTGTATCATTAATTTTTTTTTTTGTTTTGCACACAATTTCAAGGACTTCCAGCCACCTTTATTCATGGACCCCCTTCTGGACCCATGATTAAATTATATATCACAGTCCAAAGGACAAGTCTATCAGTTAGAGCACAAATAAGTGACAAATTTACTCCAGTTGTAGGAAAAAGTAATCCTTCAAGAAATATCTACTGAATGCTCAGGTAAGGGCTCAGTATATCTAAATCTTACCTGGATGTGTCTTGCAGGTTTATTGAACTGTGTATAAGGTGCTGATCTATTTGTTAGTATTTATTATAATATGGTCTCTTACAAATCCAGAAAATTTCTCACAAATAGTAATATTCATGGCAGTAATAACAGAATCCCCCATGTACTTGAAGATAATATTGGTTTTCTGGATATGAGGGTTTGAATTTCCAGTCATTCGGGGCTTAGTTTTACATTGAAAACATTGATTTGCTCCAGAACATACATCCTCTAGTGCATCCCCACATTGTGACTGAACTCTCAAAGATTCTGATGATTTATCAAACTATATATTAAATAGACAAAAGATACAAATGCATTTATAATCATCACCTCTAATCCAGAGCTAACATTAACTAAACAATTACAGTTTGTAAAGAAATCTGATGTTATTAAATGAATAAATAAGCCATAATATTTATTTAAGCTTAATCTCAGGTGATCACATCTGTTATTTTATTCCATTTATACATAGATAGGCATAGGTCCTGAGTGGTTAAGAAATTTACCCGTAATTATCCAATTAGGAAAAGTAGGAACCCAGATACTAACCAAATTCTCCCTGTTTTGGGAGTTTACGAAGGCCCCTACAGTCAAAACCATCATTCCTGTTTTGCACATGTGAAGTTTAAGGTTCATCTGGGAAAAGTCATTTACTCCAGTCAAAACCTGAGTCAAACCCAAAGTGTGTGCCCACCTGCCTTGCCTCCCTGTCCTTTATCTTACAGACAGCCTCTCAACTTACCTTCCACAATGTACGCAGTAAGACAGCAGATGCCAAGGAGGGCCAGGATGAGAAGTCTCATGGCTGAGGTCCTGCTGAGCTGTTCAGGGAGAGAGTGAGGATCAGGCTCTTTGAGGACGTCTTATATTCATCCAGTGGTCAGCACACTTCCTGTGGTGAGAGGGGGCTTTCAATGTGGGTGTAGGATCATGGAAAATCTTTGCAATACTGATGCTTTCTTTTTTCTTTAAAAAAAAAGTCCCTCTTCCCTGTTCATACTAACCTTGTGGCCTTTGCCCCTTTGCGTGTGGTTAATGTGTCAATGAAACCAAATGCATGCATAAAAGAAAACGTGGTTGTGTTGTCTCCTGCCACCAGTCTGAATATAGATCTTCCACTGTAGACATGCCTGAAGGCTGTTCACTGTCATGGCCCAGCACGGAAACTGTAAAGGAAATGAGGTGGGGTGGTCTCTGTGTTCCATCCCACCTCATGTGACATCCAGTGTGACATGGGTCTTCCACAACCATGGATCATGAGCCCCTGGTGCCACCCTTTGACTCTCTCAGGAGGTGAAGAGAGGCTGCTGCCACACTGAGTTTCTCAATCCTTTGCTTGCTTTTTCTCATTTTTCTCCACCACCCTTATTCAAGTTATTCCCCTTTCTTCAAACCAATCTCCCCAGGTACCCAAGAAACAATTAAATAATGGCTTGAGCATGCCTATATGCATATGTTTGCTTTATTACAACTTAGCACACACATTTATAAAAGCTTTTGAAAAGTTGTGCTATACCAACTTATTTCAAGTAAAAAAGAAAATTATAATCTTACCATATGGTGTTTTCATTTTTAGTATTTTTCCAGTGACTCTGTATTGGCATACATTTGTTCTCATAATTGTGGTCATTTTAAATATTGTTTTAATACAAATTTAAATATCTTCCTTTTTTAGCCTTTGTATTTCTACTTTGAATAAATATATACACATACACATTAAACATTTTCTTATAACATTATAAAAATCAGAACTATAAGGTCGATTTCCTTAATATACACTGAATTACTTCCCTTTAATAACCAGGAGTAGGATTACTGGGTAAAATGATATGATCATCTTTATAGCTCTTATTATATATTGCCGTATAGTCTCCCCAAAATGTAATTTTAATTTGCAGTGCTCCCAGTAGGATTCAAATATACTGACTGTACTGGAAATTCTCAGTCACTGAGTCTGTATAGTGGTTGTTCTTTATTTTACATAGGTATCTATAAAATGTATTTATTAAATATATGTGTAGTTAAAGGTTTTGTCATTGCTGTTAGGAATGTGAAAATAAATTCCTACATTTTCATAAAAGGTATAGGTTAAACTCTAAGAGACTTTCCACTAATCACATTTGATTTTTCAGACTTTGTTCCAAATTTCAAATGGGCTCTATAATGATTTCTACCTTGCTACACAATCAGTCCTTGAACTCTGGACACATCTTCCATTCAAACTGCTTCTCCTTGTATTACTCCTTAGCATGGAGCAATGCGTTCTCTTCCGTTTAATTTCCAAATACAGATATAGAGGGACCATCTTAGACTCATTACTATCCACCCACATGTCATTCTCAGCCAAACTGGACTAAGAGTATCTTCTAAGCAGTTCTTCAAGATGTCTCCTCCTTTCTTCCCATACTGCTCAAATCTTAGGCCAATTGCAGTGGACCAGCTGGTTTCCCAGTCCAGGATCTCCACCATTCTAATCTATTATCTGCAGCTTTGCCAAAGTGATCGCTGTAAAACTTCAATTTAATCATGCCGTTTCCCTACTGAGAACCTCTTTGCTAACTTCTGTTGCCTACAGGATTTATTTCAAATCTTTCCTTGTTATGGGTAAGAATGTTCAAGATCTAGTACTGCTTTTCCCTTCACACTCGCCTTTCACCATTCACTCACACACTCCCAAACCTTAACAAACACATACATGTGCAGTCAACCCTATGAGCCAGCCTCTTTTATGCTCCTCATACCTCACCCATTGTTTCCTTTAACTGAAATGCCCATGACAGTTCCCTACATAGTTTACTTGTAAACTCCTCCTCTCTGTATAAGTTTTCCTGATTTTTTTAGATTAAAATTAAGTTGTGCCACCCCTTTATGCTCTCTTAGAACTTTGTTCTGTTCTCAAGGCTATTGTGCAACTAATTTCATTGTGTTCTACTCAATTCCATTCCTGTATCTCCCACTAGATGGCAGGCTCCTTGAGAGTAGGAGATTACTTTGTTATCTCTGGATTCCCTGGCACTTGCAGAAAGCCTGGTAGGTAATAATCGCTCAACAATTGGTTTTTATATAAATGAATTATATTTAAAAAGCCAAAATTACAATGATTGTGTATTAAGTGAAAGATGACCATCTAAAAACATAAAGCCACTCTCCATGATATTGGTCTAGGCAAATAAAGGAAGCAAAGGCAAAAACAGACAAATGGAATTACATCTAACTAAAAAGCTGATACCAAAGGAAAGAACAATCGACAAAGAGAGAAGACAACTTATGAAATGGGGTAAAATGTTTACAAACTATACATCTGATAATGGGTTAATATGCAAAATCTATAGAGAACTCAAGCAACTAATTCGCAAGAAAACAACACAATTTTAAAATGAGCAAAAGACTTGAATAGACATTTCTCAGAATAAAACATGCAAATAGCAATCAGGTATATGATAAAAAGTCCAACATCATTAATCATCTGGGAAATTTAAATTTTTCAAAAAACATAATGAGGTATCACCCTACACCTGTTAGAATGTCTGTGATGGAAAAAACAAAAGATAACAAGTGTTGACGAGGATTGGAGCAGAGGGAACTCTTGCACACTGTTGGCAGGAATGTAACTTAGTATAGACATTATGGAAAACAGCAGAGGTTCCTCAAGAAATTACAAATAGAACTACCAGCACTTTGAATATATACCACTACTATATATATAATATACTATATATATATATATATATATATCCACTTTGCATATATACCACTACACATTATGGAAAACAGCAGAGGTTCCTCAAGAAATTACAAATAGAACTACCATGTGATCCAGCACTTTGGATATACAGCATTACTGGATATATATCCAAAAGAAATGAAATAGATATATCAAAGAGACATCTGCACTCCCATAGTTATTGCAACATTATTCATAATAGCCAAGATGTCAAATCAACCTAACTAGATAAATAAAATGTGGTACATATACACAACAGAGTACTAGTCAGCCAAGAAAGGGGGGAAATCATTAACTTGCCGAAACATGGATGAACCTGGAAGACATTATTTTAAGTGAAATCAGCCTGCATGATCCCATTCATATGTGAAATCTGAACAAGTTGATAAAAGCATTATATTACCAGAATTTCATCTCAATAAAAAGGATTAAAAACAAGTCTAGGGTTGCTTTTTATAAAGTAGCACAAAATCATGGTAGAAATGACCCTACTAACAGCACTGGTACTTTTGCTAAAGACTGATTTATCCTAAGAGAACAACAGGGATGCTGTAGACAAAGTATATGGAAGACAAATTATGTAACTGCTGTTTCTTAGCAGTAGTATAATTTGTCTTCTCTGTACTCTCTCCCCCCACCCTCTCTTCATTGTCTCCCCCGACCCTTTCTCTCTCTCGTATGCACACAAATACACAACACACACACACTACCCCTAATGCATGGTCTTGCTGGTAATGCACTGTGCTGAATGTTAGCTTCATCACATTAAGGGAAGCCACAGTAAGTCTACGTGGTTTATTGAAAGTAACCAAAACTGAAGTGAAATTTCGTCACCGATGGTGATGAATACTTTCAAAACCATTAGTCCTTACACTCCGACCACCATCAGACATTCCTCAGAAGCTTATCTTAGTCACATGTACCAAAACTTTCTCCAGCCACTGCTTGTCCTTGATAACACAGGGATCAGGTAAGCCAGGTTCCTTGTCTCAATTTATCTGCTCCCTCATGTGTTTCCGTAAGTTCTGATGCTAGGCCACGTGAGTAAAAGTTCAAAACATCTGTTCAGTTTAAAGATTTGTCTTTGAAAGGGGGACCTGGGAAAGACAAGCAGGGAAAGAATTTAGGGATGCACTCTCATCTGGCATGCAGAAGATAAACATGGGGATTTAATGATTTGCTTTCGCTATAAAGCCCTATACTTAAACTCTTTAAAATTGCAGCAGGCTTAAAACATAAAAGAAAATATTTTACCACTTTTACTGCTCATTACCAATAATTGCTTTGGAAAAGACCATGCACTTAGAATCACCATGGGAAATTACAAGGACAGAATTTCCATTCCAAAGGCCCACAAAGAAGGGTTTCTTTTTGTATCCTGTAAAAGGCTATATTTTTTATTTGAACATGTACTAAAGTTTTGTAAGAAAATTTCTACAGACAGGTATATGCCCAAGGAGATAATATTCATGCAAAATCACAGAACTCAAACATGATTGAATTATTTCTGGTAGCTCAAAGGAATGGTGGAAAAAGTTGAAAATGTTTGGACCAAAGCAAAGAGCACCCCAGGAAGGCAGACTGCTCTTCACCTCCTAGAAAGTGACTACTTGTCATTCACATGCCCAGCAGATCAGTCTAGGATGAATGGGAGAAAACTGCAGAGAAGAATGATCTAGGAAACAGACTAATCTCCTTTACTCACTTCTCACCCTAGGTGTTACACGGAAGCTAAGGGCTTGTAGGGGAGGCCATGACCTACAGCCATTTACTCAAGCAGTTAAAATCAGGCACTCTACTGAAAGTTGTAAAACCAGATGTGTATACAGTTTGAGACCCCAGAACACTCAGCGTAAACTTGTTTTAATTTAATGTGATTTTGTTTATTTGTGGAATATCTACCTCTAAGAGTAATCTGCTGTTGCGGTTTAGAGCCCTGGCTCTGGAATCAAACTGCCATGTTCATATCCATTTGATCACTTAGTAAGTGTGTGACCTTCAGCAAGCGACTTAATGCATTTAACCTCTCTGTGCCTCAGTTTCCCTATATATATAAAATGGAAATAATAATATATCAGATGAGGCTGCTAAAAAATCAAATTAGTTAGCACATGCAAAACACCTAGAAGACTTCCTGGCATGTATTAAGCATTCAATATTTATTAGTTGATATTGTTAATATAGTATTATTATACAAAATCTTATGCACATGAGAATGAAAGTTCTTAAAAGCATATTTTAGAGTAATGTTACTTGAGGAAAATTAGTAACTTAATTCAATAGAGGGAGAACAAAACAATTTCTTTTGCTTAAATGACTGGACACCTGAATGGGAGTTTTTCCTGATTTACCAAAAAACTTAAACTTTTCCTCTTTTGCATTTGAAGTTTGGTATTTAAATACAAAATCCTGACCAGGAAGAATCTGTTCCTATATGATTTGTTTCTACTTGAAGAGGGAATGTGAAAGTGGAGTGTGGCAGCAGGAACCAGCTCTGCAAAGCATATTTCTGTATCAAAATTGGACTGAATTTCTTTGCGGTCTCCTCCAACCAGGGTCTCCAGATAAAATACTGGATTATCAAAAGGATATAAGGGAAGCTCATAGATGCCATAGGCAGAGATGTACCCAGGCCCAGATAACAATTTGAATGTAAGATTGGAGCCTTTCAGAGACCCCAGAGCCTCACTTTCAATCTCACATTCCCTCACAGCAGACCAGCCTTCTTTACCTCCAATAAGACACATGGTACATCACGGTCCCCCTGGTTTTCATGTTCTCTGTTCAAAGCCCCAGCCACACTGAAACTGGAATCTCTCAAGCCCCACTCAAGGTTCCTGGGGGACAGAGGTAAACATTTGTATAGGGTGGCAGAAGGGGTAGTTTTCAGAAAATTGGAAGGAGAGCCAAGCAGACAAACAAGAGGTATCCAAT